TGTGGTGGTACGCACCTGTAGTCCCAGCTACTCACGAAGCTGAAGCAGGAGAATCGCTTGAACCCAGGAGGCAGAAGTTGCAGTGAGCTGAGATCACACCACTGCACTCCAGCCTGATGACAGAGTGACACTCTACCTCAAAAAAAAAAAAATTAGCTGGGTGTGGTGGTGGGCACCTGTAGTCTCAGCTACTCAGGAGGCTGAGGCAGGAAGATCGTTTGAACTCAGGAGGTGGAGGTTGCAGTGAGCCAAGATCATGCCACTGCACTCCAGCCTGGGCAACAGAGCAAGACTTGATCTAAAAAAGGAAAAAGAAAAAGAGTTATGACACATGTAAGACAAGTGGTTAACAAACAGGTGTTCAAAAAAAAAAAAGTAAAACTACCCTAACCCTAACTCCTAATCCCTAACCCGTAGTCCCTAACCCTAACCCTAAAAAAAATAAAAAATAAAATACTAATAAAGACAAGTGAAACTTTGAACATTTATTACACATTTAATAATATTTCAAAATTATTGATAATTCTTTTGGATGTAATAAGCTTTGTAATTACGTTTTCATAAACTTATCGTGGAGAGATCCATTCTGAAATATTTACAGAAGAAATAATCTGATGCCTGAGATACACTGGAAAAGAACCTAGGATGGGGCAGGGATGGGTTGTAGGTAGTTGGTGGCAGAGCTGTGTACTGGGTACACGGCGGTTCGTTGTACTGTCCTGCGGTCAGTGCGCAGGTTCGACATTCTTCCTAATTCAAAAGCCTAAAAAGGGATTTGGCAAGTTCCCAACCAGACCTCAGCGCCACAATACGAAGAACACTCAGGTCCGAGGCGTTCCTGCTCCCCAGCTCCCTGCAAAAACAGCGCCAGGCAAGGTCCAAGGCGAGGGCGATGCTTTCATGGGGGTCCGGCCGGCAGCATCGCGATCCTCAATGGCTCAGCGACTTACGGCCCTTGAGCATTCGACGAAGGATGACCTGGACGCCGGCCGGCGTCCTCAGGCGCCGGATCCAGCCGTGCTTGTGCTTGCGTTTGATATTGCTCGGCTGATATTCGTTACCGCGAGCCTTGCCCCGGGCCTGCTGCGGGGTGGGGAGGCCCCAGGCGTCCGGGCATCCCAGCCAGGCCCGGGGTTGAAGCCACCTGCGTGGGTAGAGAGACGAAGAGAAAGGTCAGACGGGGCGCTGGGTGACCTCGGCGCTCAATCGCTGAGCCTCGGCTCCCGCGGACAGAGCCTTGCTGCAACAGGCGCTCCACAAATGCGCAAGGCACGGGCAGGTCGTGCGGGCAGTAAACAGTGGCGCCAGCCTCAGACGCCGCCCTTATCCCCAGATTTGGGGATGGGTCCCCCTGAGGACTTACCTGCCACCCAGCAACGCTGTAGACCTACACGCGGGGCCCAACACCGACCCAGCCAAGAGAGCCATGTTGGCTGTAGATCCCGCAGTCCCGGCCGCCAGCGATTCCGGAGCCTACAGGCGCCGCAACCCTGGAAGAAAGGATTATGGGAAGTGTAGTTTCTCCTAACATGGAAAAAACATGGCCGTTGGGGAAAACCCTGAAGCTCCAGTCTGTATCCGCGGGGCAGCGTAGTTCTTCACATAAACCAACAGGTAGCGGGCGAACGGCGCCTTTCCAGCATGCGCGTGCGCACAAGACATTATATCCCGGGGTCTGCTGGGAGTTGTAGTTTTCTCTCTTGTTGACCGGCAGAGGGTGCTCCGCTGTGGCTGGGCGCAGCTGGTGGCAGCCGCAGGAAGCGGCTGATGGATCTTCCCACCCGCAGCGGGAGCTGGGCAGATGGCACACAGCTGGCTGACAGCTTGTCTTGGCCGCAGCCAAGTCTCCGCCTCTTGGCAGGAAGCCGAGGAGGCCTGAGTTCAAGCTCGCTGGGTATCCTTGGAGTGGTCCCTGCGCCTCTCTGGGCTTTCTCAATCCGTAAAACTCATGGATTGCAAGCTTGCCCCCATTTCGGACTTAGAAGAATTTTCCTCTGTTTTTTGTTTATTTAGTTTTGTTTTGTTCGACACGCAGTCTTGCCCAATCACTGAGGCAGGAGTGCAATGGCAAGGTCTTGGCTCACTGCAGCCTCTGCGTCCTGTGTTCAAGCGATTCTCCTGCCTCAGCCTCCCGAGTAGCTGGGATTACAGACACCCGACACCATGCCCGCTAATTTTTGTATTTTTAGTAGAGAAGGGGTTTCACCATGTTGGCCAGGCTGGTCTCGAACTCCTGACCTCAGGTGATCTGTCCGCCTTGGACTCCCAAAATGTTGGGATTACAGGCGTGAGCCATCGCGCCCGACCCTCTGTTGTTAGAACAAAAAAAAAAAAAAAAAAAAAGGGAAAGAAATTTCTGATACTCAGATCTGAACCCCTCCCATACTCACACACTATCCTTGGTTCCCCATTTCCCCAGGGAAAAACAGCTCAGTTCCTCCATCAAGCATGCAAAATCCTCTAAACCTGCCATCTTACATTTCAGCCACACTCTACTCTCTGCCCGATGTTCTCCTATCTCCCCTTTAAAAAAACCCTTGGAAGGAAGCAAGGGTTGAGTGTGGCTCTTGCCTGTAATTCCAGTACTTTGGGAGGCAGAGGGGGGAGGATCCCTTGGGGCCAGGTGTTTGAGACCAGCCTGGGCAATATGGCAAGACCCCTGTGTCTAAAAATAAAAAAAAATTAACTGGGCATGGTCGCAACCACCTATAGTCCCAGGTACTCAGAAGGTGAGGTGGCAGGATTCCCTTAACCCAGGAGATCCAGGCTGCAGTGGGCAATGATAGCGCCATTGCACTCCAGCCTGGACAACGGTGTGAGATCCTGTCTCAAAAAAAGAAAAGAAAAGAAAAGGAAAAGAGGCCAGGCTCTGTGGCTCATTCCTGTAATCCCAGCACTTTGGGAGGCTAGGGTGGGCGGATCATGAGGTCAGGAGTTCGAGACCAGCCTGGCTAAAATGGTGAAACCCCACCTCTACTAAAAATACAAAAAAGTAGCCGGACAAGGTAGCAGGCGCCTTTAATCCCAGCTCACTGCAACCTCTGACAGGAGGCTGAGACAGGAGAATTATTTGAACCCGGGAGGCAGAGGTTGCAGTGACCTGAGATCGCACCACTGAACTTCAGCAGCCTGGGCGACAGAGCGAGACTCTGTCTCAAAAAAAAAAAAAAAAAAAAAAAAAAAAAAAAAAGCGGGGAGTGGGGACCTGGGGAGAGATAGCATGGGGAGAAATGCCAGATATAGGTGAAGGGGAGGAAGGCAGCAAATCACACTGCCACGTGTGTACCTATGCAACAATTTTGCATGTTCTTCACATGTACCCCAAAACCTAAAATGCAATTTAAAAAAAGAAAGAAAAAGTCAAAATCCCCAAATTATGATATAAATACAATTCCAATTAAAATTTCAGTAAGATTTGTTTTCTTGGAAAAAAAAAAAAAATAGAGGCCGGGCGTGGTGGCTCAAGCCTGTAATCCCAGCACTTTGGGAGGCCGAGGCGGGTGGATCACGAGGTCAAGAGATCGAGACCATCCTGGTCAACACGGTGAAACCCCGTCTCTACTAAAAATACAAAAAACCAGCTGGGCATGGTGGCGCGTGCCTGTAATCCCAGCGACTCAGGAGGCTGAGGCAGGAGAATTGCCTGAACCCAGGAGGCGGAGGTTGCGGTGAGCCGAGATCGCGCCATTGCACTCCAGCCTGGGTAACAAGAGCGAAACTCCGTCTCAAAAAAAAAAAAAAAAATAGTCCTCTTCTCTCAACCCCTGTCCATTCTTCTGGCCCAACTGCCTTCCCTTAACTCTCCCTCAAGTTCAGGCGCTCCCCAAGGGCCAGGTCTGGGGCTGTATCTCTGCAAGTGCCAGCTTGTGGTTCATACAGAGAGGTGTTTGCTAAATGAATAAACGGTATAGTCTCCCAGAAGTGCCCTGCGTGGGCAAGAGTGGGTGGCTGGACCGAATCCAGCCCTAGCAGCAAATTCCAGAGGATGGGAGTGGCCGAGCAGCAAGGAGCATTTAACCCTTCATCCTCCAAAGACCATCCTACCTGCAGCATCATTTAGCAAAACATCACCACCACAATAATGCCCATAATATATGGAGGACTTGTTACATGCATAACACTTAGATGAGTACTTTGCCTGAATAGCAGACTTATCAGAGGATTAATTTCTTAGAGAAATAAACAGGCTCAGGAAAGTGAAGTGACTTGCCCAAGGTCACACATCAGCAAAGGGCAGAGGCTGGGTTTAAGAGATGGGCTTTCCTAGGGCTCTCCTACCGTGGCCCCGCCAGGACCGCAAAACTGGGATGCCTGCCTCTGGCTCTCAGCCCTCCTCAGAACCATGGCAGCCATAAGTTCAATCTGCTGACTATGAAATTCAAACTCTCTAATTACTCTAGCACCAAGACTTCCCTTGAAAGCTTTAGAGAAGCCCGTCGTGATGGCTCACGCCTGTAATCCCAGCACATTGGGAGGCCGAGGCTAGCGGATTGCTTGAGGCCTGGAGTTTGAGACCTCCTCCCTACCAAAAATCAAGGGGTGGGGAAGGTTAGTAAATAATGGTTCCCAGGTGTTGGAATCACACAGCCTTGGGTTCAAGTCCCAGCTTTGTCCCTTGCTTGATTTATGCTCTTTTGCCCCTTATGAGCCTCAGTTTCACCACCGGAGATTGGAAAAAGATCTTGGAGTCTGCTCCTAGAATGGAAAGGTCAATATAGAGAGAGGAGCATGGGGGCATCGTTTGGAGAGGAACAGGGCTTGGGAGACCCATTTGCAGAGAAAGGGCCCTGGCCATGCACTCCCAGGCGTCGGGCAGACCCCAGACTGCAAACCTCTTCTCCACCTAGAGCCAGGCCCAATCCCTCCCCCCACCCCGGTGAGACCCCAAAAGGGGCGGGGCTGTTACTCCCAGAGCCCGCCTCCACTCCAGAACTGCCGCCTCTGATTGGGCGCCTAACTAGGCCAGGTCAGTCCGCAGCTGGGATAGGCCGAGGCGCCCGCTCGTCGGCTCGCGGCTCCGCCTACTCGGGGGGAGGAACTTAAAGGGCCGGTTCTTTCCGCGGCCGCGGGATGCCCCTGCGCTGACCGCCAGGGGCTGGTGCCCGCCCTCGTAGATTCACCCGGCCTGACACCGCGCCACCATGTAAACGGCGCCAGCAGGAGGACGCTGGCTTCTCCGCCCGGGACCCCCTCCGCCCTGACCCGGGCCCCGCGGCCCTCGATGAGGTGAGCGGGGAGCGGGCCCCAAAAGGAGAGATCGAAGCCCCGGGGCCTCCACTTCGGAGGAGTGGTGTCCACCAACCCCGCGTTTGGGCTCTTAGGAAGCCACGGAGCCCAGTGGGCTGGACCCCGCCGCAGGGATGACGAACACCTGGAAGGCGGGGGCCGGGCGCGGGGAAGCGGGGCTGGGGTGGCGCCTGTGCGTTGCCCTCCGCAATCCGGGATTAGGGCCCCACTCGAAGTGGGGGGCACAGCCTGCTTCCACTCCAGTATTCCTGGGTCCACTGCGGTCTCAGTCTCGGCCGTGCGTTACCTTAGCGGCGCCCAACCTGGGTTGGGGAGCAGGAAGGCAGTTGGCCCCATCTCCAGGCCCTAGACACCTAGACAATGGGGGTGCATTGCTTGGGTATCCCCCCTTAGGTTATGTAACGGCCTGTGGTTGCCATGGACACGGGGGCGGGGGTGGCCCAAGGAGTGGGATGGAGGCTCGGAGGCCCCCAGCCAGGGCCTTGCCTCCCCTGTCTGCCGGGGACTTGTGTGGCAGATCCCCAGCACCCAGGGTACGGAGGAGGGGGTTCAGAGTCTAGCTTCCTCTCAGAGTGTCTGGGCCTCAGCTTGGCCCTCTGTGAAACAGACCCCGGCACACCCCGGTCTAGGTAAGGGAGCTAAGCAAGGCTTTCGGTGGCTCAGTCCCCAGCCCCCTCCCCCAAGGCCTCACCTTTCTGGATCAAATTCAGAGCCAGGAGGCTCACTGAGGGCTCACCAAAGATTTGCACATTTAAGACGCCTTAGGAAGCACTCGGATAGGATACGTGAGTTAGTGAGTGCATACCTGAATGAGTTAGTAAGTTCGTGCACACCTGAATGAATGAGTTAGCTCATACCTCAGTGAATGAGTTAGGAGGCCATAAATGGTATAAACTTCAGGTGGTGGGAAGGGGGTGTCTCCAGGGCTGGGCCACATCTGCCACAATGTCCCCTTCTTTAAGGATCGACCCCACCAGACCTCACCTTCCGTGTGGACACCCTACCGGGTAAGCCATAGCCAAGTCTTTCTCTCTGAGGATAGACTAAGGTAGCCCAGGAGGGTGTCTGACCACCATGAAGGCACTGCCCAGAAAAGCATCTTAGTGCTCAGTGGCTCACAGCTGTAATCCTAGCATTTTGGGAGGCCAAGGTGGGTGGATCACCTGAGGTCAGGAGATCGGGACCAGCCTGGCCATCATTGTGAAACCCAATCTCTACTAAAAATACAAAAATTACCTGGGCATGGTGGCTCACGCCCGTAGTCCCAACTACTCAGGAGGCTGAGACAGAAGAATCACTTGAACCTGGGAGGTGGAGGCTGCAGTAAGCCGAGATCGTGCCACTGCACTCCAGCCTGGATGACAAAGCCAGCCTGTCTCAAAACACACACACACACACTCAAACAAAAACAAAAGCAAAAAATCGTGGCTCACTTGCTCTTGCGCTCCCCAAACTGGAGTCTGGAAGGGTTCCCCCAAGGCTCAGAGAGTGGGTGCTGCAGGGTGGAGGGTTCTTATTGAGACAGCACCTGAGCTGGCTGCTGTCCCCACTCACAGGACACAGCATGCTGACCGGGGTGACCGACGGTATCTTCTGTTGCCTGCTGGGCACGCCCCCCAACGCGGTGGGGCCCCTGGAGAGCGTCGAGTCCAGCGATGGCTACACCTTTGTAGAGGTCAAGCCCGGCCGCGTGCTGCGGGTGAAGCATGCAGGACCCGCCCCGACCGCTGCCCCACCTCCGCCATCATCCGCGTCCTCGGATGCCGCCCAGGGGGACCTCTCCGGCTTGGTCCGCTGTCAGCGCCGCATCACCGTGTACCGCAATGGGCGGTTGTTGGTGGAAAACCTGGGCCGAGCCCCTCGAGCCGACCTCCTGAACGGGCAGAATGGCTCCGGGGAGCCGCCGGCCGCCCTGGAAGTGGAGCTGGCCGACCCGGCGGGCAGCGATGGCCGCTCGGGCCCCGGCAGTGCTGGCAGCGGCAGCGGCAGTGGTAATGGTGGGCGGCGGCGGCGAGCCCGGCGCCCCAAGAGGACCATCCATATTGACTGTGAGAAGCGCATCACTAGCTGCAAAGGCGCCCAGGCCGACGTGGTGCTCTTTTTCATCCATGGTGTCGGCGGCTCCCTGGCCATCTGGAAGGAGCAGCTGGACTTCTTTGTACGCCTAGGCTATGAGGTGGTGGCTCCTGACCTGGCCGGCCACGGGGCCAGCTCTGCGCCCCAGGTGGCCGCAGCGTATACCTTCTACGCGCTGGCTGAGGACATGCGAGCGATCTTCAAGCGCTATGCCAAGAAGCGAAATGTGCTCATTGGCCATTCCTATGGGTAAGCGAACCCTGGCATGTGGGTTGGGGGTGAGGGATGGGAGTCAGAAGAGACTGTCACAGACTAGCGAGTTTTCAGGCCAGGTGCTGTGGCTGACGCTCACGCCTGTAATCCCAGCATTTTGGGAGGCCAAGGCAGGAGGATATCTTCAGGGAAGGACTTTGAGACCAGCCTGGGAAACGTAGGGAGACCCCTGCTCTACAAAAAGTACAAAAAGTAGTTAGGTGAAGAGGCACAGGCATCTAGTTCCAGCTACTTGAGGGGCTGAGGCAGGAGATCACTTCAGCCCAGTAGGTTGAGGCTTCAGTGAACTGTGATCACACCACTGCACTCCAGCCTGGACAACATGGCAAGACCCTGTCTCTCTTTAAAAAAAAAAAAAAAAAAAGAGGCCGGGTGTGGTGGCTCACACCTGTAAACCCAGCACTTTGAGAGGATGAGGCAGAGGGATCACGAGGTCAGGAGATCGAGACCATCCTGGCCAACCTGGTGAAGCCCTGTTTCTATTAAAAATACAAAAATTAGCCCATTGTGGTGGCACGCCTGTAGTCCCAGCTACTTGGGAGCCAGAGGCAGGAAAATCGCTTGAGAACCTGGGCGGCGGAGGTTGTGGTGAGCCGAGATCATGCCACTGCACTCCAGCCTGAGCAATAGAGTAAGACTCCGTGGGAAAAAAAAAAAAGTAGTGTTGCTCAATCTCAGCACTAGGGGCTGGGTGTGGTGGCTCACACCTGTAATCCTAGCACTTTGGGAGGCTGAAGTGGGCAGATCATCCGAGGTCAGGAGTTCAAGACCAGCCTGGCCAACATGATGTAACCCCATCTCTACTAAAAATACAAAAAATTAGCTGGGCGTGGTGGCAGGCGCCTGTAATCCCAGCTACTCGGGAGGCTGAGGCAGTAGCTGGAGGCCGAGGCAGGAGAATTGTTTAAACCCAGGAGACAGAGGTTGCAGTGAGCCAAGATCGAGCCATTGCACTCCAGCCCGAGCAACAAGAGTGAAACTCCGTCCCAAAAAACAAACAAACAATCTCAGCACTAGGCTGTAGGATGTTTAGCAGCATCCCTGGCTTCTGCCTCCTTGATGCCACTACACAATCATCTAGTGTTGATCATGATGGTCAAACATGTCTTCAGAAGTTTCCAAATGTCCCCTGGTGGGCAGAATTACTCTTGGCTAAGAACCACTGCCTTAGATTAAGTTCAAAAATCAACTGCCCCGGAGTCCCTGTGCATTCAGGAAGGGCTCATTGGAATCCTGGAAATTCTAGGTGTTTACAAAGGCATAGGTTTCTGTAATTCACTCCTGCTTAAAGAGCAGATAATACAACCTAAAACTTACCAAGAACCCCTCCATGGAAGACTTGGTTCCCAGGGCTTGACCACTACCAAGTGGCCTCATTCTCTTCCTTATCCAGGAAGAAAGGCAAGATTGGAACAGTCAGACAGATTGAGCACCACTGTTTTAGAGATTCTAGCCTATGCAATTAGACAAGAAAAAGAAATAAGTGCCAAGTATGGTGGCTTACACCTATAATCCCAGCACTTTGGGAAGCTAAGGTGGGAGGATTGCTGGAGCTCAGGAGTTCAAGACCAACCTGGGTAACATAGCAAGGTCTCGTGTCTACAAAAAATTAAAAAGTAAACAAAAAAAAAAAAAAAGAAAAGAAAACAAAGAAGTTACATAAGTATCTAAAAGAAAGGAATCCAGGCCGGGCGCGGTGGCTCAAGCCTGTAATCCCAGCACTTTGGGAGGCCGAGGCGGGTGGATCACGAGGTTAAGAGATCGAGACCATCCTGGTCAACATGGTGAAACCCCGTCTCTACTAAAAATACAAAACATTAGCTGGGCATGGTGGCGCGTGCCTGTAGTCCCAGCTACTCAGGAGGCTGAGGCAGGAGAATTGCTTGAACCCAGGAGGCGGAGGTTGCGGTGAGCTGAGATCGCGCCATTGCACTCCAGCCTGGGTAACAAGAGCGAAACTCCGTCTCCAAAAAAAAAAAAAAAAAA